AAACTAAGACCGTCCTGGCCAAAATGGGATGCATAATTCCTAAACTTAAAGGTACTTGATTTAATGATAATACTAGAAATGATATTGAAGCAAATTCATTAGATATCATGAATGTAAACATGACTATATAATTTCCTTCTGCATTTATTTTTTGTACTAACTTAGGTAAAGAATGTATTTATATGTATTAAACTATTTGATGGCGGCAGTAAACTCACAATTGGTTAGAAGTAGACATATGATTAAAACATAGATTTGCCTGGCTCCAAAGCATCTTTCTGCCACAATAAGGAAAAGTCATACAGAATTTGAAAGATTAACATAAGGTAGTAATGTTGGAGATACTATTTTACCATGTTTTGCAATTTGCAAAGTTTATTTTACAAAAAAAAAGAAAAAAATCCCTGTTACATTTATCTGACTAGCCTGTCTTTATTTGTTTTTCCTTCTTGTATACCTTAAAACAAAAATATAAGCACACATTTTCAGTTTAACCTTTAGTGCCCATAGATAAGCAGTGAAGCAGGTCTATGTCTGATGCAACAAATCCTGAAGACCTGTCTTCAAATGATTTAATTTAACCTACAAGCTTCTAAAAGTGAAAGTCTTTGATTCATAGTCAATACTATGAATTGGAAGTATACCATCAGTGTTTTGTAGAACTACAGGTTCTTTTATCTTTAGTTGAAAATTAGTCTGTATTCAAAACAGTAAAGAAAATACACATATATTCAAAATTTAATAAACCTTTTATTTGGTGATGAACTTGCCTTACCTTTAAAAAAAAGGTAGAATCACAGAATTAACATTTTTTCCAATATTCATCAAAATACCAGCTTTACCAATTTAGAAAATACTGCTGTTCTTTTTTAAAAGATAGCCAGTCCTTATAACATTAAATAGAAAGAGTATAACAAAATAGTTTTTTAAAACATTTGGGTTTTAATCATAAATTATATTGACTTTATTACATTTTGTTTGTGGTCTGATATCTGAAAAAAAACTGATCAATGGAAGAAAATATTTGGATGTTTTTAAAAATAAGGTCTTCTCACATTTTATATTCTGATATATATATATATATGAGATGAGTAATGTAGCTTGGAAAGATGCTGCTCTTTTATAAAATAATTGCATTCAAGTCAGTAGAATTTAATCCATTTCATTGTCTCTGAACGTCTAAATGAAATTATGAAAACCAAATCATATGCTTTTAAATAAATTAGCAAAGTTCGTTTGTGATTCAGAATCCCTGTGGGATTACTTTCTTCAGTGGTGGGAAGATATCAGTTTCATTATACTATTTCCAAGTCACAGAATAAAGTAAACTATCAACTGATCACATCCTTTTAGGGTGAAACCCCATCTCTACTAAAATTACAAAAATTAGTTGGGTGTGATGGCGGTTGCCTGTAGTCCCAGCTACTTGGGAAGCTGAGGCAGGAGAATCACTTGAACCTGGGAGGTGGAGGTTGCAGTGAGCCAAGATCACACCACTGCACTCCAGCCTGGGTGACAGAACGAGACTCCATCTAAAAAAAATAATAAAATAAATCACATTCAAGTTCAGAAACAGGTTGGTTGGTAATAGCCATTACCATCATTAGACCACGGAGAGATGCACAGCCATTTAAAGAAGCAACTTAGGTTACTATTTTCTCTTTACCCAAACGGTCCTCATAAAGGGAGCTAAGCATAAACTCTCAGGAAAAACAAACAAACAAACAAAAAGATATCTATCCTATACTTACAAATATCTAGGAATCGTAAAAATTCAGAGGAGTAGGTAATGTGAAAATAGTATTAACTTTTCAGATTATCTTGGTTTTATGGTACATAATGTTAAGAAGCATATGTAAGAAACATAATAGTAATTAAATATCTCAGATGTATCAAACTATAATGAATAGAAAATATATGCAAAAGTACTTAGATTGTAAAAGTGGACAAGGAATAACAAAATGAAATCTTAATTGAAAAAAAAAGCAAAGTAAACATTCAAGAAAAAGAGAACAAAACTAAACTTTTAGACAATGATTTTTTTTCTGCATTTTTCTTAAATTTAATAAACTTTTATTTCAAAAGAAATATAAATGGATTATAAAAATTTAGAAAATACAAATTAGTAAAAATAAGAACACTGTATTCATACTACCCAGAGACAACTACTATTTAGTATTTTATTTTATATTATTCCAGATCTATGCATCTGAGGATATATTTGTAGATATATATGAATATAGATTTTTTCATATTAAAGTTCTACTGTTTGGAAACCGAATCTTTTCAGTTTATGGTGCACGTCTTTCTGTTGCAGCAAATTATCTTCTCATCTTCTATATAACTTATATTCAGATCTCTCAAGTTTTCCAAAAAGACTCTATAACTGGTTTGTCTAAACCAGGATCTAATCCAGGATTACATTTTCTATCCAGTTGCTATGTCTATTAAGTCTTCTTAAGCTACGTCAGAACCTTTTTCATGGCACTCACTGAATAAAAAAGAACCTGCAAGTTGTCTTATGGAATATTCCCTCCTCTTGATTTCACTGGTTGCTTGTTTGTGGTTAATGATTTATATTTCAAAAGTAAATTCTGTGGGAATAGGAAGAATGTGGCCTCTTAAAATGTTTAATAAAACACTTATGTATGATTTTTAAGTACAGAAATTGTAGTACTTTATTTCTTCAGGTTGTTTTTACCTCTACCATTCCTGCCGAGTGGTAAGAAAACAGTAAAGAAATTCAAGTAAACCAAAACTATTGCTGTGAGAAAATACTGAAAGTAAATTCTAACTATAAAAACAGAAATTACTGTCTTGAGTTTTTGAATGTCTTATTTTGCCCATTACTTGCCTGTATAGTAATTATATGGCAATCGATCTCCACCAAAGTAAAATAAGAGAGAGGTATTATTTGCTTCTCCTGGAAGTTTGTTCCTAAAAAATAACAACAACAACAAGCAAACAAAGAAACAAACAAAAAACAAAATAGAGCATTTTCTTTTCATATACAGTGACATTGACGTTTACATATATTTACATAAATATGTATACTACCTATTATTTTGCAAAATAAATAAGCAGAGAAAGTTTAGAGTTGGTCTGAATCTACAGTTGACAAAATGTTGGACACTAGTCTCCAATATACATAAATATTTTGCAGTAAAAAATTGGACTGAGAAAACAAAAATATAACCCTTTCAATAACAGTGAGTTTCCAGGGATATGTTAAGCATTTGGACTAAAAATTATACCTTTGGTTGAAACATAAAATATTTCCTGAAATACATATTTAACTTGCATGCTCAAAAATATGATCTTACACAAACAAAAACATATCACAGTGATGAGTTTTTGTCCATACTGTCATTTAATTTTCTCAGCAGAGATTTTTATATCTGCAGAAAATCCCATTTAGAAAAATCTAGTTGAATTATAGCAACATTTCGGTATACTATAGTACTTTGAGCTGTCAGGAAACAACCTTTAGGATGAACTACCTTTTTAGATTTTTCTGCAGTTTTATATGACAATATAGCAGTCATGATCTTTAAAAGACATGATTTCATTTACAGAAGAAGTTACACAGATTTTTTTCATAAGCTTTTTAAACTTTTAAGGTTTTATTAAGGATCATCCACCATTAATATTTCTGATGTATCTCTGAGCAGAATTTTATTTAGCAAGATGAAGTATTTTTTAAGAAAATGTAGTATAATTTCTTTTAAAAATGTAAATACAAGATATAAAATGCTTTATTATGGAAAGCATGAGCATGCAGGAAGTTCTTTTTTAGTTTTGATATCCATTGTGGCTTCATGGTCACATATTTTTTAGGTAACACGTGTGTGTTTCACTCAAGATTATTTCCTATGGTATACAAAATTCATATGATTAAGAACTCTGACGACGGAAACCTCAGAGATACTGCTGTACTCTAGAATAAGTTAAAAATCACAACTACTACTGTTTAAGCAAGGAAAAAAATTATCTAAGAAGTGATCAGTTTCAAAATCATATCTTTGCTAACAATACATTACAAAAACATTTAAGAATGAAGAGTTCCAATCAATCTCTTCTTAATCCCTTTTTGGTACTGTTTACCACTTTTCACGTAATGCTTCATGTGCACACCTCTTTTATGAGTATATGATGCTTAGACACACTATTGATTCTAATACTCTTGTCGTTATTCTGAAAACATGTCTGAACCAATTCTTTATCCTTCTCCTGACCTTTTTCCTACCAGAGTTACCCTAATAAGAGTTTCAAATAGCACTTTTGGCAATAATAACTCTCGTATTGGTACCCTTATACTCCAGAGGCGTGGGGTTTCTATGTGTTGAGACCACTCATTTTGCATTAGAGCAGTGTTTCCTAACTGGGGATGATGTTGACAGACCTTTGGCGATATCTGGAGACATTGTCATGACTAGAGGATGGGGGTGCTGCTATCTCGCGGATGGAAGTCAGGAATGCTACTAAACATCCTAAAGTGCACAGGACACTTCACGACAACAAACTAGTATTCAGCCTCAAATGTCAGTAGTGCCACTGTTGTGAAAGCCTGCTTCAGAGAAAATACCGAAAATAAAATTACAAACCACAACAATATTTTACAATGTATTTCCTGTTGATTCATATATAATAGCAAAATATTAAATGTGCCAACACCAATGTTTTGGCATATGTTTTTCATACTGCTAGCAAGTGTTACATTTTTTTCATCAAATGGCATGTTGTGACTGTTCATCCTCAAAGATGAGTTGTATGTGCATGGTTTATTATTCGTAAAACACACACAAAAACAACTATAGTCTTTACCATAAGAAAGATTTTGGTAGAGCAAAACCTAATGCACTTTTATATTTGCATTTCATCTAAATGACTAGATTTGTGAAATGTGGATAACGTCTTGTACAACTGCTCTTTTCTCTTCCTCTGTCTTCTCTCTCTTCATACTTTTGTTTTGTTTTGTTTTTTCTCATTCTGGTTGTCAGAACTCCCCTGATTGCGGCTGGAGTAATTGGTGGGCTCTTCATTCTGGTCATTGTTGGTCTGACATTTGCTGTTTATGTTAGAAGGAAGAGCATCAAAAAGAAAAGAGCCTTGAGAAGATTCTTGGAAACAGAGGTGAGGTATTTGTTTCTTCTCTTCATGTGTTTGGGGATTTTCATCAGGTTTAGAAGGTTTCGATGATGTTCAGTTATTTAATCCAAGTAAAATTCTGTTCAATGTCGTAATTAAATTTTTATTTTATAGTCCATTAGACAAAGCTTGTGAAAAGTCAGATTATATCGTAAAAATAGTCAAGGCTTCAAGGGGATAGATGGGAGTAGTCAACAAAATTATTGTATTGGGGAAAGTATCTGTTATTTTGTGTGTGTGGTTGCGGGGGGGATTCCATTAGCAAGCTCTAGACAGGGGATATCTCTATAGCAGCAGATCTAGAAAATATCTGCATCGAAAATATCTCAGTGACAGAGCTAGAAAAATGTTAGAAAGAGAGAGAATCTTTCTGTTTCAGAACAAAACTAAACAGACAAGGAATGCATGTTTTAATTAGGATCATTAAATTGGTAGTCAATGATCTCATTATGCCAGCAGTGAAAGACTAAGCTTACAGGATAAAGCTTAGTATTGTAATCACACAGAACTTACAACACAATTTATGGGATGCATTTAATATTATGCATGGCGGTTATTGTGAGTATGTAAATTACTCATAAATGATTATAATGTCTTTTATATTGCTACACTGAGTTCTCTAGCACAAAAGCAGATAGTTTTTGTGGTACAGGATACAGGGAAAAAATAATTACAGAAGACTATGCATTACCAGACCCTTCTCAACTTCCATCCTACCTTTCTCCTGATACACACATCTGTGCCTATCTAAACAATTCAGAGCAATTCTGTTCTGAGATAAGCTTATCCAACGTTTGTTGTTTTTCTCATTGTCAGTCTGACAATTTGACTTTTCCTTTGAACACTGACAGGAATGAGAGGAATGGGAATTTTAAGTCACTCACATATTTTGCATACTGATAATGAATTAACTTTTAGCCCTTTACCCAGAAATAAAATCTAGATAGAAGTATCCTGTGAAAGTTTCTGGAGACTACCTTACAGCTTCTTCTAGGAAAACACTTTCTAAGGATTAAAGTTATCCGCAATTGGAAGGAGCTGTCTCATGAACAGACATGTTCAAGCAAAATAAAGGTAGTCAATTACATACATGGGAAAACCTAATCGTGATTCCTACTTTAGCTGGAAGCTTATGGAAGAGCAATTTGATTACTGTTAATCTTGCACATGTGAATGAAAATTTGGACATGACACATGTGCTTTGTGCTGTGCATGTTTGCAATTTAGCTAGGATACTGGAGGCAGAGAGAATTCTATCTCATGGTCAGCTTGAGGCACTTGGTGAGAGAATTCTAAGAAGTGAAGTATTGTAAACCAGAGTTGGAAAGGAATTGAAAGCTTGGAATAGCAGTGCACATTTAGGTGACTGCATAATGGAAGAGAAATTCCCTTAACCACACACAGGGAAGGCTCATTGCCATGAAAAGAGTTGTGTTGCTTTATTTTGGTTTGTTTTTATAATGCAGTGCTTTATAAGAATGTCCTTCAAACTGTCATTTCCTTACTAAATAAACACACACTTATTGGTTTCATAGGCAGGTTCTGTTTTTATAGAAAATTATTCTTTAAGACTAAATTATTTTACATTTGGTGGTTAGATAATCGTAGAATTCCTATTTTTTTCTTAGTAAAAGAAAATAGCTATGATTTTCTACCATCTTTTTAATAAAGGGGGAATTTTTAAGAGGGTCAATTTAAATCTTTAAATACTGAAGCTAGAAATCTGCCTCAGAAGTGAACATTTATTGAATCTTGATATATTGTTTCCATACACTTAAAGTTGGTACCCGTTCCTCAAATCATTTTGCTCCAGATTGTCTTTTTTATGTTACATGCATAAAACTAGAAACCATATTTTTTCCACACATGCTTACTGAGATGCACTGTAAGCTTGATGCTTTGGTAGATGGTGTGATTCAAAAATGTATTAATGAGACATGATCTCATGCCTTGAAGAGTAACAGATTTAGTGCCTACAATATGCCAGGCAACATTCTAGAATTTTCCACATATGTTATCTCATTTCATCCTTTCTCAAGTTTCTAAGGTGATTATTGCTATACCTATTTCACAGACAAGAAATAAATGTCTAGGAAGGGCAAATTGCTTCCTGTGAGTGGCAACACTGTCATATAAACCTCCAACTTTAAACCCACGTGTCTGTAAAATATATTAAATGACACAGAAACATGTTTTTGTGAAATATATGAAATGATACCCAAGAAAAAGAAGGCTAAAAAGGTGAGGTAGAATTGTAAAGTTTTCAAAATATGAAATTATTGCATGGTATATGCCAAAGCATATACACAATGTATATTTTAAGTACATCTCATCCAAGATGCTGAAGCCCCCTCCCAGTATTGTGTGATTTTATGTGACTTTTGTATATGATTTTTAAAAATGATTCATGAGTTATTCATTATACATATAGCATATGTATCAAAATCTACCCAACAATTTCTGTATGGTTGAGTTGCCTTCAAATGAAGGGAACTCAGTTGAGCAATCATTTTGAAATTTTTCAAATAATTTAGTGATTCTTTCTGAGATTTTTAAAATGTGACTTGAATGCAGTTGTATGTTATCAAATTTACATTTATGTAACTTAAATTTGAAAATGAAATTGAAGATGAGTTGTCAGACTCACAATTAAAGAAAAATTTGAAGATAACCTAAGTTTATTGGTAATTTTTGATTACATTCTTCCTAAAATTCTTGCTTTAGCTACACTTACCTTCCCTCAAGAATCTTCCACTAATTAAGTAGGCTATGATTTTCACAGAAGCATGGTAATTCATCACCAAGCTGCAGCGCCGCAGTGCACTTAGCTTTGTAAACAGATACTTTGAAATACTGTGGTGAGTTCAAGACAATTTGAGTAGTAGTAGCCTTTGATTATTATGCTGGAAAAAAAAAAAGACTATTTGTAAAGTTTAGTTCCTTAATTTAACTTTAAAAAGACAAAGAAACTCCTATTTCTTGCACTTGCCCTTTTACTCATACATAGATAAAAACCTAAAATTTTAACATAGGATACAGGCTTTTTGGTATCCAGAGCCTCTCTTAGATGTACATTTTTTTTTTTCTCACATATGCCAGTGATTGGCACGCATGCACATACTTTGCCCCTTCTCATTCATTCCCCCAACTGAATCACATAGCAATGATGATATCTAAAACTATCAGCCTAATTTTACTACTTTGACCACACCCAGCCCACCCCATGATTAGGTAGGTTTCCCACCCTACTTTCACCCTTCTGACCTGTCCCACTCCCTGTTGCATTCTGCTGTATTTCTTCCTCCTCCTCCCTCTTGCTGTGCCCAAGCTGCTTTTCACAGTGGCCCTCCCAATGTCAACCCAATTTCATTATCTCAAGACTTAGACATCTCAATACTTGATTTTAAAGTGTACATTTTTTAGGAAGACAAAACTAGTGAGCCTCATTCCCCAGTAGTTGTTTGATTCCTTGCATTTCATAGCATTCACTTATGATCCAGAATCAAATCATAGAATTGTAGAACTATTGATCTAACAGGTACACTTGGGCCTTGGTACTTAAAATGTGTTCGAGGATCACCATGGTACCTGGGCATCCCTTAGAGTTCTATGCAAATGCAGACATTTCAGGTCTACTCCAGACCTGCTGAACCAGGACCTGTATTTAACAAGAACTTGAGGTAATTCAGATGTACATTAAAGTTTTGGCATTGTGCTTTCTTTCCCCTCTCCTCTGACATATTTGTCCTGGCTTCCCAGGTATGTTTTAAGCTCTAAGAAGGCAGCATTTCCTTTCCTTAATGCATCAAATCTCATAGCCTAGTATGCCTCAAAGTAGGCACACATTTGTTACTTGTGTTTGCTCTGACAAAGAGCAGGAGAAGAGAAAGGACAGGGTCTGAAAGAATGCATAAATGTGTCAGTGAATGGTGAGTGGTGCATATTACAAAGGTATTGGGTGTTAAGGCAAACTATATTTGTGCGTTTTTGCTTTGTGAGAAAGAGAACCAGAGAGAGAGAGAGAGAGAGAGAGAGAGAGAGAGAGAGAGAGAGAGGACTGACTATTGAATTGAAAGTATAATCTTCTTCCTTCCGCTTTGCAGTTGGTGGAACCTTTAACTCCCAGTGGCACAGCACCCAATCAAGCTCAACTTCGTATTTTGAAAGAAACTGAGTTGAAGAGGGTAAAAGTCCTTGGCTCGGGTGCTTTTGGAACGGTTTATAAAGTAAGTAAAAAACAATGCATATCGTTAGTTATTTTAAGTTTTGTTTTATACATTTAAAAAATAATAGCCAATGGAGTTATTACTTTAGACAACCTAATTTTCTTATAATATTCAGAAAGGAAGACTTATAATATTGAGAAATTGCTGCACAAATGAATTCATTAATTTTTATTGAATGAGCTGGGATGGATACAGTCTTGAGAGAAAAGCAAGAAACTGATACAAAGCCAAGTATAGTTTTTTCCTTAATACCTTTCTGAGCCTCTTATGTCATATTCCTTTTGGCAAATTTCTATTTTTATCCAACTATCAAGCCACAACCCATTTTCCATTACCACTACACAGTGCTCCATGAACCCCAGACATGCCTGGGCAATATGCCGTAATTCTTTATTCTTTTTTACTTCTGCTTTTTTATCCAAAGCCTCCCCATCAGGACCCTAGCAGTTGCTCTTTTTAGAATCTATTCAAATATGCTGATGTCTGGTATCTAAATCATTTTTTGTCTACCTGGTTACATTTATGATTTTGTAGATAATTTCCATGGTTTTGATGTCTTTGTCATTATAAGCAAACTAAAGATGTGACATTATATGCAAAATTCAGGTCAGATAGGAGGAAAAGATGACATTATGTGTTTTCAATAAGAGATATTTCTTGAAAGGAAAAGCTCAAATGATGGCATGTGTATGTTTATGTATTTGCCTTAATTACAAGACCAATTCAGAAGCTAGGCCTAAGATTAAATGTGGTGAAATATATTTTAATGGTAAATAACAACATTAAGAAACTCTTCTGGGCTAATGCTGAATTATTCTTGTAATATCCATTACTACAATTCCCAAAAGTTACTTTGGCATTTTACATATATATAAATATATATATAATATATAAATATATATAATATAATATATATTTACATACATAAATTTATACATATAAATAAATATAAATATATAAAATATTTTATATATAAATATATATTTATTAAATTATATATATAAAATATTTTATATATAAATATATATTTATTACATTATATATATAAAATGCCAAAGTAACTTTTGGGAATTGTAGTAATGGATATTTTATGTATATAATATATATCAATATATGTATATAAATTATATATATTTATATAGTATATATTATAAATAATATATATTTATATATAATATATAAATATATAATATATTAAATATTTTTATATAAAAATATATGTTTATATATAATGTATATAAATATTATATATTTTTTTTTTTTTTTGAGATGGAGTCTCGCTTTGTTGCCCAGGCAGTAATGCAATGGCATAATATCCACTCACTGCAACCACCGCCTCCTGGGTTCCAGTGATTCTCTTGCCTTAGCCTCCCCAGTAGCTGGGATTACAGGCACGTACCACGACGCCTGGCTAATTTGTGTATTTTTAGTACAGATGAGGTTTCACCATGTTGGCCAGGCTGGTCTCGAACTCCTGACAAGTGATCCATTCACCATGACCTCCCTTATATTTCTTAAAGCTATGTGTAAGCCTACATTTTACAAAATATCTGTTAAAGTTAATTGGATCTTAGAAATGTTGCATTTCAAAATATTCTTCTTTTTAAAACAGTGATTTATTTAAAAAATATATTAATAATTAGAATATAAACCTTAATTTTTCTCTCATAGTGTTCCAAAATAATCTAATATCCTTAAAATAAAACTTGTATTCTAAGGTCAAAATGTAGAAGTTTCCTAATCTTTTATCATGCATGTTTTATTCAGTTAAATTTGATATTAACTTGCAATAAGTTTGAGCACCTACTTTGCATAGGCACTGTTCTAGACTGACTTGATGCCTTTTCTAATCTTCAGATTTGATGTATGTTCAAAGAAACACAAATTTTTCTGTTTCTCAATTTACATTATGCTAGAAAAAACCAGACTCAGACTGTATCATTTTATATCCTTAAAATTTGTACCTAGTTACTGCAATTGTATTTACATCTTTAATAAGTTTAATCTGTACTCATTTCTACAATAAAATGATATCAACAAATTATATGGATAATAAATGTAGGGTCCTAAATTGCAGTCTTGATTGTTTAAATTGACAAATTGAAAGTACTGCTGTGAATTGGATCCATATTGGCAATCATTCTGGATCACATAGCTGTGCCATAAACCCCTATTCTAATGATTGGTTGCAGGATTTTTCCCCACCTGAATTATCTAGTAAATGGTACAGTTCTCCATATTCACAGATGTAACTGAAGGTTTCTGTGCTGAAACACAGGACAAGTCAGTAGAAAAATATTAGGGCTTCCTGCCTTTAAATGTTGGCCTGTTACCGATTCTGCATGTGGCATTGACAAAATTTAAAGTAAGTGGGTAAATGTATGTGTTAATGAAAAACAGAAATAGGGAGAAAAAAAGATACAGATAAACGGCCAAATTTAAATTTATTGTAACATACTTCCATTTTTAAGATAGCTCAATCTTGGATTGTTCCTAGAATGTAATCACGCCTATATTTTTAAAGATAATGTAGTCTGTAAATTAAATTTTATTTTAAACCTTGGGTACCCTATAACTCAAGACTAAACACTATCTAATGTCTTCAGCAGAGAACAATGTTACCGATTTAAACATTTAATAATAAACCTTTATTAACTTGTATTAAGAGCATTTATTTGTCTATTGTGCATGAGTGTTTTACATTAATTGAAATTACTTGTAGTGAAAGTTTACTGGACATTTCATCAGTTTTTTTGAATTATATGCCTGAAGTGTCTATGGTTGACTCTTAAGTTTTAATCAATAGATCAATTGTTATGAAGACATACTGTCTTAAACTATAAAGGATTATTCTTGACCATAGAAATGCAAATTGGCTTAACCAATTATTTGATTATTTTTTTCTCCTAGTTAGAAATATTCTCTGTTTAAGTATAAAGATTAGGTCCAATATCATGGGTATCAAATAGTAAAAATTTTAACTAGTTGGTCCCAGAAAATAGTGAAATAATGAATGAAATAATGAAATAGTGAAATAATGAATAATTTAAATAAATGTTTATTTTAAAAAGCAATATAAAATACTTTACATTGAATTTATATTCTTATTTTATTTATTTATTTATTTATTTATTTATTTATTTATTTATTCTTGAGACAGGGTCTTGCTCTGTAGGCCAGGGTGGACGGCAGTGGTGTAATCATAATTCACCCTAGCCTCAACCTCCTGGGCTCAAACCATTCTCCCACTTCAGCCTCCTGAGTAGCTGGGACCACAGGCATGTGGCATGAGCTACTTGGCTCATTTTTAAATTTTTTTTATTTTTGGTAGAGTTGACATCTCTCTATGTTGCCCATGCTGGTCTTGAACTCCTGGGCTCAAGAGACCCTCCTGCCTCAGTCTCCCAAAGTAGGGGGATTACAGGGATGAGCCACCACGCCTGGCCTATATTATTGTAAAAATACACTTTAGGGATACTTTAATATTGATGCCATGTCTTTATAAAGTAACCTTCTCTGTGGTTACTCTACTGAATAGTGAATAATAAGCCTGTTTTCCACCTTAGATAACATCAGTGAGAAAATGCAGCCTATGAGTATTGGGCTTTTTTTCTTTTTTCTGTTTCTGCTTTATTTTATTTTAATTTTATGCAAGGAACTTGGCTTACAATTTTGCATTTGACACATGGATTTCCCTATTCATTCTGCCTAGGAAGAATGCAACCACTTTCTAAAAGTTAAAGTCTTTAATTTTCTTTATTATTGTTACTATGTTTTAAAATAATTCTTGTGTTCATGCCTCCTGATGATGCTGCAACTTTGAGTAACACAAATACATATGTTGTAGCGTAAAAGTTCAAAATGAAAAAATTTTGAATTTTTTTCTTTATGACTATAACCAGCTGATATTAAGAAAGACAGGAAGTAAAGATGTTTTGTTCAGGAATAACAAACTATTATTTTTCATTCTTTCATTTTAATGTTAAAAGTCTTATAAGAAATATTTTCTGATGTCAGGGCTAAGAAGCTAAAATTTGAGATTTTTTGGTTTTTGTCCTCATTATCTCATATTTGCTTTTGCATTGATATGGGAAAATACACCTTTTAAAATGCATTTTTGCACAACCTGTGCATCCTCGTATGTCTTATCAAAATCATTGTCCTCATTCAAATGTTATAATTCACTTTAAGCAGAAATGCTATTATTTAACTTAATGTTGTATTTCACTCAAACTCTACCAACTTTATACTTTCCCAAGGGATAGATCCTGTTAAGATATTATGATTATATTTTGATAGGAAAAGAGAATTAACAATGACCAATATAAATATTTTATATTTCTTTTGGAATAATACAAATCCTTCACATACACACACATATATATATGCTTTAATAATGTAGACAAATTAATCTGTGCTCAATATCCCCTAGCACTTGCCTTTGAAAACTAAATCTTAAATATTCATTGTTGAAAATTAATTCTTAAATCAGTTTGAACTTGAAGAACATGAGAATATGCTTTTTAAATTGTTTTTCTTGCTGCTGAATATTTAGATAATATTCAACCTGAAAAGAACTTCTAGCATTACTTAGCCCAGTCTTCTAAATTACAGATGATACAATTGAGATTCAAAAAAGTAGAGCAACCATCTCAAAAAGTCGATGATATCATCCAAATAAGATATTCTTTTGCTATCCTATTTTTGCTATCCTATTTCCATGCTGTCTTCACTATTCAAAGCCTTTTTCATGCACACAAGTAGAATTTGACAGTAGTGTAAACATCTTGAAAGCAGGATATATATTATATATTCTATATATGTAATTATATATATGAGTGTCATCTTCAGATAATGAAAGCAGACAACAAAGTTGCACAGTAACTTGTAACATGTAACAGGTGGTCAATAAATGTTTGTTGATTGAATGTTATAATTTCAAACTTGTAAGTTGTATTGTAAGAACTTAATAGGTTGAGATGTCATATTTAATGTGAATTTTTTTTCCCAAAGGGCATTTGGGTACCTGAAGGAGAAACTGTGAAGATTCCTGTGGCTATTAAGATTCTTAACGAGACAACTGGTCCCAAGGCAAATGTGGAGTTCATGGATGTAAGTACAGACACCCAGGCAATCACATTTTTCTCTATTATCAAATAGCTTGCTTAATTAAAGCAAAGTAAAACCAAAACTCCACAACTTACAAATTTCTCCTATGGAAATGTTATAATCTTATAATTAAAGACATTTCTAAGACCACTTCACATTGTATTATACTTTTTAGATCACTTCTGCTTCACAACTATCTGCCTAGGTAGTTCACTAGAACTTGCCTTTAGAGTTTGAAGATATTTACAATCCCCAAGGTGAATTATCTACCACATTGATTCGAACATGTAATGTTCTTATATTTTCTGGTTAAATATAACCAAATAGCTCTCAAGTGAGAGCAATACATAATTTCAACTGAAAAGATATTTAACAACCAAAAATAATCAATTGTATTAAATAACCAAAGCTCATGATTATATTTCTTAAAATTAGTTGCACTGAACAATATTAGAAAGACTATGTGGTGGTGGTAATAAGTCACTAATATTTACAAAGCATTTACTAAGTGCCAAACACTGTTACAAATAACTCACAAATAATAACTTATTTATTCCTCAAAATATGACAGACCAAGAACCTGGGGTTAACCCAAGGTTACCCCAAGGTTACAAAGTTAGAAAATGGCAGGTCTAGACTTTGAGTTCAGGAAGCCAGCTTGGGTAGGGAATCAGTAAACTTTTTTTTATAAGGCTGGATTATAGTCAGGCTTTTACATGCTATGTGTTCTCTGTGCAGCAACTCAACTCTGCCCTTTTTGGTGGAAAAGCAGCCATAGATAATTAAAGCAAAACCAAACAACAAAAACTAATGCAAATGGGTGTGACTGTGTTCCAATAAAACTTTTTATTTACACAAATAAGCTTCAGGCCAGATGTTGCCTAAGGGGAAAGCAGGGGCTAAAATTGATCATTTGAAAAATTAACCATACTGCTTTATTTTATTATGGTTATGATCTATTTAGCTGAAAACATCAATCAAAATTAGTTTCCATAGTAAGTTAGTCTCTGTTAAATTTAAATTAATAACCTACCTGAGTCAGGTAATTACCACTTGACATTTATTTTTCCAATTCAAATTCAGAAGAAAAGACTCTATGGGTTAAAAAACTTGAACTATAATAATAACAGATCTCTAAAGAATAAAAAAAAGTACTTTATAAGGTCAATCAGAACTTTAAGATTTCCCCTAGCAAAAATTGTAGATTTGAACTGTTCAGCAAATTTCAGAGAGTAGGATTGAATAAAATTATATATGTATCATGCTGTTATTTTTTCACATTCAATACAAGACATCTTGCCAGGGGTTCTATCAAAGACCATATATGTCCTTTCTCTATCTTTTAGCATAATGTCTTGAGTAATAAGAATGATTTCTATTTTCAAATGACCTTCATATGAAAGATGATGCAAGTATATGCACTTTGATTTTTTTAAAAAGATAGATTGCTACATATCTCTATCCAGTTTCTCTTGTAAGCTCCTTTACAAGTTTTACAGGAGCTGTCTTTGACCTTGAATAATTTATTTGTGTATAATGCTAACTACTTTATATAAAACTACTTTCAGCTAAACTTATTATTGGTTCTCATATGGTAGGTTGATAATCAGCTGGTACAAACCAGCTTTTCAGATTGGTTGGTTTCATGCCTTACCTGTTGCTAAATATTTTAAATATCACCTTGTTGCATATCTGCCAGCATCTATATAACAATGAGGCCAAGAACTAAATATTGATTCTTTCTTCAGTTCTCTGAAGATTCTGACACGCCACAGCTACATATCCTGGATCATATGTTACAATTTAAAACTGAAGCCTTTTTCAGTGATGTGCCAATTATTCAATTTGATCTTGATCATAGCTATGAATTTGTGAAGGGAAATTTTTTAAAAAGTGGAAGTAATAAAGGAAAATTACAATGAGTAGAAACAGTATAGGTTAATTTGTAAAACTGGTAGAAAAAAATCTTGTCCAGCCAAGACTACAGCCAAAGCTGAAATTCACAAGAATGCTAATAATCTCTGCTGGAGGCTTGAACAGCCATTTTTGTCATATTTCCATGGAAACAGACTGGCAAAAGGGGGTTAAGAGGCTACAAAATAATCACACCTAAGAAAAAAGCTCTAAAATCCTCATCATGATTTTGAATGATTATTTGAAAGCTCCTAACCCCATCGATTTTTTTTTTCTTGATCTGACATATATTCCCATGGAAACAAGAGTGGAGATGGCAGCCTGAAGTCTTAGATTTCTGCTGAATTTTAGACGAGGCTCTGATTGAGCCATGAAAGGAGTCATTTTCCTAGATGGTTGATGGATTTGGTAACCAACAGATTCAGAAGAATCTGTTCTTTTTAAAAGTTAAAAAAAAAATTAAGGAAAATATTTTGACTGTGCCTTTTCTACTTGTGGATAGATGCTAGAAGATTAACAGATTGATGGACAGCTATCAGCAGAGTTTTATATACCTGGCAGAAACTTGTCCTACTATTTTGGAGACTTCTTTAAAAACATTAGAAGGATAGCATCACAATGAATGCAGTTTAACTGACAACATCAATGGTGAATTTAATATCTAATGTAAGCTGCTGTAATTTTAACATAAACATAAGCCTATATTTGATACTTATGTTTTTAGCTCATTGGTTGTGTGTGTAGATCATTATAAAAGTATTTGAATAGCAAACCACAAAAAAAGAGGTAGGTACAAGAAAAATGATTTGTAATGTGAATCTAAGGATCGAGTTGAAATTATAACTATTCCAGAGTTACTTGGTAAAAAGTAGGAAGTTGAGCTTGTTTTAGTTTGGGTTCTTACAGATGCAGAAGCTACCCCTGAAATAAGAATATGAGTGAAAGTCATTTATTTTGGAGGTGAAGGACTCATCAGTAGGGAAGTTTAGAAATAAGACAGGGGAACTAATAAAGCTAGCTGCCATCGTAAGAGACTGGAGCTTCTTTTCACTGGAGAGACTCTGGCAGCCAGTGTAGGACATATACCTCAGAATTATCCCACTCAAGGGTTAAGGGAGCTGAAGGTGTAGAGCTGCTGGGAAAGAGCCACACTTCACTCCCTACATATCCTTCCAGCCAAGAATGGCAAAATAGGCTCAGTGGAAAGAGAAAGCTGTCAAGCAAAGAAAGGTGGGTGGGGGTCATCTGGTATAACACTACGGTAGAGTGTTCCAAGGATAACTTTCAAGCTAAATAAGAACTTCTGCAACCACGTTTTTGCAAACTAGTGCATGTGCATATTTGTATTTGTATGCTTGTTTGTACAATTCTTCAGGGAAAAAAGACTTTCAAAGACAATGGAAATTACACAATCTTATTAATCATTAGACTCCCTTTTCTCCACTCTATGTTTGAAATAGAATATTCTAGATTCAATAACCACTACTGTATTTATCATATAGAGCTGTGCTTTACTGGTTATTATAAAAATAACACAAATGTAACAACTTAATACTCAAAATTTATCACCACAATGAAATTTCTATTGATATTCAAGGATAAAGGAGAGGGCTTTTATATTTTCTTAGAATTTTTACCACAGGCAAAAAAAAAATAAATAAGGGGCAGTTTGTGTTCTATTAAATGCTACACTAAAAGCAAGAGAAGGAGAGTTTGGTCACCCAGGGCTGTTACTCTGCTCACCTGAACATGTCTAATGGATTCATAATGACAATAATAACACACTGCTAGTGAATGGCCAGTACGCTCTTCATTCCCGTAAAGAAAGATCACGTTGAACAACATTAAGAAAATGACTCTAAAGGCCCACCTTCATAAGAATACCTGCATTTATACATGCTCCTAGTTCTTGTTTCAAATAGAACCATTTCATAGGGAAAATGTAGGCTTTTTTTGTTGTTTTTTGTTTTCTTTTTTTAATCCACAAAATGGTGCAGAACACATACATAAGAAATGATGCTACTGAACAAGATTCTTAAAATTGGGCACCACCATCTCATAAAATCAGACAGACTGTTCACTTTTTCTGAGTTCCCATCACTCTATATTTTTCCCCAGTATTTAAACCTAATATCAGTTGACTTCGTTTTTAAATGTTTTATCTAAAATACTTGCTTTCTTAAAAAAAATGAAAGAAATTCTGTAATTATTCTAAATTCTAGTGACTGATCAACAGTCATAGCTTTGTATTTGCATGAATTTTTTTGGCTATCATTTCAACGTTTCCACACCGAATTTACCACAGTGAGATACTGCAAGGAAACGTGTTTTAAGTCACCTGACTTTATTATGTAAATAGTAATATTCTTATTAAAAGAATAGCTTGTTTTTTTCTATATATACCATAGGAACTTTTATTTATCTTACAGAACTACTGTTTTCCTATTTTCTGAAGAAATGTTTATATGAATTGTCTATGTTTCTCTTCTCCATATTTCCATTTGATATTCAGTATCTTGATGGAAATTATTTCAAATCTAATTGATATATTAATGGGGTGAAATGAATATAATTTATGAGTAGCTTACATTTTTTCTTAGAGTATAACAGGCTAATAAAATTATTTAAAAAGATATTTTGTTCTATAACATTTTCACATTATAAAATTTCATGTATATGACTTCACATAGTAATTCTTAGCTATATTCTGTGTCATACTAATAGTGGATTTTTTTATTCTTAATGTTTGTGGGTACACAGAAGGTGTATATATTTATGGGGTACATGAGAAGTTTTGATACAGGCATGCAATGTGAAATAAGCACATCATCAAGAGTAAAGTATCTATTCCTTCAAGCATTTATCCTTTGAGTTACAAACAACCCAATCACACTCATTGTTATTTTAAAATTTATAATTAAGTTATTATTGACTATAGTAACCTCACGTGCTATCAAATAGTAGGTCTTATTCATTCTTTCTTTTTTTTTTTTTGTACCCATTAACCATTCCCAGCCCCTACTACCTTTCCCAGCCTCTGGTAACCATACTTCTACTCTCTCTCTTCATGAGTTCAATTGTTTTGGGTT